CTGTTTTATGAAACTTAAAAATATTAGGAAAGACAATGGCATTAAACCTTTGCTGCATGTACTTTTGGATGGTTAAACGATTTATTAAAAAAATATTTTTGTTTCTATGTTTAATCAAATACTTGGCAACTTGTATGATCTTACATTTGTTTTTAGACAATTTTTATTTGTTAAAATATTTTTTGTTTAGAAAAGATATAAGGTACGATACTTTTTTGTATACTTGGCGTAATCTTTTTCTTTTTTTTTAAAGAGTTTTGGTAAGATCTCACTACTTTTTGGTAATTTATTTTTGGAAAGTTTTTATTTGTTAAAATAATATTTTGGTTTAGGAAGGATGTAATGTACGATACTTTTTTATATACTTGGCTACTAATCTTTTTCTTTAAAAAAAAAAAGTTTTGGTAGGATCTCACTACTTTTTGATAATTTGTTTTTGGACAATTTTTTTGCTAAAATAATATTTTTGGTTTAGGAAGGATGTAACGTACAATACTTTTTAATATACTTGGCGTAATTTATTTCTTTTTTTTTTTAAGAGTTTTGGTAGAATCTCACTACTTCTTGGTAATTTGTTTTTGGACACTTTTTATTTGTTAAAATTAATGTTAAATAACAATTACTAAACAAGTGGAATATCGATATCTTAGCTCGATTGTTAAATAATGGATTTTAAACAATTGCAATAGTTTAGATCAATTTCTGAGTCCTAATTAACAATTACTGCGTAGACAGATCTTAGATATCATCATTAACTTGTTAAATATTGCGTTATAAACAAATGGATAGTGTGAGGTTTAAAACTTATTTTGTTGAATTTATTAATGCTAAATAACAATTATCAAAGTGAGAATCATTGATATCTTTATCCGATTATTAAATGATATACTTTAAACAAATGCAATAGTTCAGTCCGATTTCTATTGACAATTACTATACAAACAGATCTCAGATATTGCCGTTAATTTATTAAATGTTGTGTTACAAACAAATGGATAATGCGAGAGATTTAGAACTTATTCTATTTAATTTATTAATGTTAAATAACAATTACCAAAAAAATGAATTATCGATATTTTTACCCGATTGTTAAATAATGAATTTTAAACAATAGTTTAGACCGATTTTTAAGTCCTAATTAACAATTGTTGCATAGATAGATCTTAGATATCATCAAGTGTATATGCGTGCGTGCGTGCGTGCATGCGTGTGTAAATTTTTATTAAATTCTACAATAAAATTGGATCAAATTTTATAGAATAATAATTAATTAAAAATGAACAATTTATATTAAGAAATATATTATA